ACGCTGATTTTTATCTCCAATTCGCAATTATATTACTATTCGTAAGAGACGCGTGCTATGCAGTAACTCTTAAACAACCCTATTTGTTGTCTGAGTAGACATGTTACGAGTTTCGTTTTTTCTTTCCTGGTCACCTAAATATTTCATTTATCTAGTATGGTCGTAATTTTTGAGTTCGCTTGCAGGAAAATAGGCATATCCACATTTGTGAATCCTTCTATCTTCTTACCATTCTTTCATAGTCCTTATTCCGCCATCGACTTTTCCCAGCCCGTATGCTTCTATGTATTACTTCGCATGGCCAGCCGTTGCCGAAGAATATCCTAGTAAATTTGTCCAATTATTCATCCCAAAATTCTATATCCGCACTTCATATGCTTCTAATTATTATGTTCCTCGTTATTCGTGTCTTTAACCTGTAGTCGTCATGGAACCGTAAATTGAGTATTATCCCAGCATATGACTTCTTTCCAACTAATTTCCTGGTAAGCATACAATTAAAATGAAGCATATCAACATCCACAAAAGGGAACAGCTTAACTTACTCTACTTCCAGCGTCAATTTGATTTTTTAAATCTGGTTTATAAACTTTATAAAATCTTCCAGTTTTCCTTCTCTATGTGACCATAGTTTGAAGTAATGATCCAGGTACCGCATGAACGCCGTTGGTTGGGGCGGTGACATCTTGAAGTTCTCTTCTAATTTGTTCATGTATACGTTCACCAAAAAAGTTAGGAGATGCGATCACATGGGAAGTCCAAATATTTGTTTTCAGATGTCTCCGCTGAGTGTGAAATAGGTTGTTTTTATTGTCAAGTAAGTTAGTCGTGTCACCGACTCCATTCTAATACTTTCTTCTTGAAGGATATCTTCCTCTCAGTCCAGGATTTCAAGCAGGACCGTTAGCGCTTTTTCTCTACAGGTGTTTATATACTTTGGTTGTACATCAAATCTCACCAATAAGTTTATTTCTTTTAGTGCCATATTTTAGATTCTTCAAGAAAATTCATATGAATATTCCACTATGTTTTATAACCTGTGTTTGTTTTCTTGAGGTTCAAACATATCAACCTGGCCAATTTGTGTGTTGCCCCGTACATGTTTTTGACTAACAGCCTAAATGCTTCGTATTCTTTGTGTACCTTTGTTAATTCGCATGGTGCTGGTGGTCATGCATCATTTCTTATGAGTGAAGATGTCACTGATACAACCAGCAGCGTTTATGCGATCCCTTGACCATTACTTCGCATTTTGGTCATATGTCAGAGAAAAATTGGAAGATTTTCTGAAGTTTATAAACCAGATTGATGGAAAGATCTAATTCCCGATAAGAGTAGTGGAAGGTAAGAAGTTACATTTTCCGTATTTAGAAATGCTATAATGCTATACTAGGACGCTCAGCAGGAAATTGCTCGGAAACAAGTCGTATGCCGTGATAATACCCATTTCTAGTTCCAATACAACTACGGGTTAAAAGCAGAAATAATGAGAAGCACAGTCATTATAAGCCTATAAGTAAGGGATGTTGAATGCTAAGATAAAGAATTAAATAAATTGACTCAGATATCTCTCGAAAACGGTTACACAAGCGAAAGAATACAGAGTAATCTATGGGCCATGAAAAGCCGGTTTCACAATAAGGCTATAAAAAAACAAACGAAAAAACTATTCATATTATTGGGGGAATTTTCAACACTCTAGCCTTTATCATATTTTGCTACTGAAGATGATGAAAATTATTATTAATTTGATTCTTATATAAAAACAGGGTAAAAAACAAAGTCTCTATATCTAATTAAGGAAAAATAGAAGAGAATGATCGTCAATGATCAGCATTGATTAGGTAGTTGGATATATTTGAGTATTAAAATATAAATTATATAAACCCGATCTGATAGTATCATTTGTAGTGTTTTCCCATTATTTCTTATCAAACCAATGTAGACCTATTACAATTTATGCTGTCCGTTCACTAATAAAAATTAATTTTTATTAATATTTTATTATATTTAATGCATTTTAGCAATTTACAAAAAGTTTAATGCATTTGCTTATTCAACATATCCGTTAATGAAATAGGTGGTTTATATGCACTTTTAAGATGTCTGCTTAGTTCAAAGCTCTTATCCCCTCCAGTTCTTACTCCAATGTGTACCATCTGCTAGCCTTTCCCTTGTTTCATATACCTAATTTTTCATTACTTACTTGAGAAATGTCATTTAATGCTATTAAAATAAAGGATAGAAATAAGAAGGCATTAGAAGTGGTTAGAGCGCACAGTAAAAGTAAGAATTTTTGATTAGTACTTATATTCTCTTATCTTAAACTAACTTAATTTTCGTCTATTTTTATAAGATGAATTCTCTAAGAATTCTTCACATGGTTCTCGATTCAGTCTTCCACGTATCTCTTCGCTTGCAAATACTCTAAATAAAAACCTTGATGATAATTATTCGGCCAATTCTACGCAAATAATTGGTCGTGTTCCTCATGAATTCGTTTCCGAAAGAAATAGCGTAAGACTTTTTATAATTAACAGGCATTTAAATATTAATGCTTTTTTAGAGTATTAAGTTTTCTTATTCACAGCTCGCAGTAACCTTTTTTTCCTTTCAGCCTAAAAACTTTTCTTCGTTATATTTCGATAAAAAATCTATTTCTCGAGCGCCCGAACACTATTCACCTTTGAGTCTACCATATGATAGTGGCCATTTTGATCGTCGCTTATCTCAGGTTTCCAGTTCTGGGGCACATTTGGCCACACCAGATGCCGTCCAATGTCGGGATAACTCCTTCAATATTTGCGACCAAAATTATTTGCTATTAGATCCTTCATCTGAAAGGATCAGTCAGCTTGCTGGACGCGTAGATAGGCTTAAATTACAAGTATATTTCATTCATTAGATAATCATATTTTTCAAATGGCCGTTAAATGTTTTGATTTCTTTGATCTAGGATTTACCGGTCAGTACCAGCTTTTTAAATGCATCAAGTCTTGTGACGAGTTGCAAGTCTTCCTCGAAACATCTCAATTCGAGTTGTTCCATCGGGAAATATCCTCATGCACCGTCTCTCACCTGCCTTGGTGACAGTTCTGGTAGCACTCTAAATTGTGCAGTTAGTGTACAGAAGCCTCAATTAATCACTTCACTTGAATCTACTAAAGCGAGTACTCTTCCGCGATTTCGACGGCAATCGTTAACTCATCCCAACTGCAGCTCTCCAAACAATTCCGTGGCGCAAAGTATTGTTCCATCAGCTGTCTCAAATTGTACTCCTTGTTCTCCATTCGCTTTATGTTCCGATCCTGTAGTTCCACTGGGTCCTTCTTCACCTTGGTATCGACACTGTCGGCCTGTTGCTCCTGTACCACCTTTTGATCCAGATGCCCTTCTACAAGATGGTTCCATATCCTCCCTTTCATCTTCAGAGGCATGCTCTCCCGTTAATATGGTGGATTTTGAAAAAGCTATTCACTCTTTTGACTGCATTGATGATTTTATGAAGGATAAATACGATGGTCATAATGTAGGTTAAATTCTTTTATTTTTTGATCTCGTAACATGGCTTTTAATTTAACCTATTGTTGATTATTGACCTATAGAGCGAAGAGATCTTACGTAATACTAAGAGTGAAAGTCTGTCCTCGCAACCTCACTGGACTCCTAGGCACCCCTATCACCAGCAACTAGAAACTGCCAAAGATCAAGAAAACATTCATCGACTTAATAATTCTTCAGCCCGTCAGCTAGCGAGATCCAATGCCTCACGATCTGGTGTCGCCCTATTGTCTACAGATGTGCATGATGATTGTGAAGACGCCGCGGAAGAAGAAGTTCTGCTTCTGGCATCAGCAGGTCCTCCAATCCATCGGGTTCGTCATCATCACCCTAGTCTTCCTCGAAATGCGAATAGAATTGATGTTCTTCATCACAATGATCATATTCCACCTAAATCTTTTGTGAGAGATTCGAACCATAGTTGTGTTAGAGAGCATACAACTATCCAAGAACCACATCCTCTTGCGTCAAAACATTTGTGTGATCGTGAGTTTCCTATTTATTAATTCAATAATTTCATCTAATTTAATTTATTTTATTTTAAATTACAATTTACTAAACGTGCATACATTTTCTTAACGCCATCAGAGCCACTACATTTTGATAAAAATCCATCCTTAGCGATGGCTCCACTCGTAGACGACCAAATTTGGCATGTCGGCTTTAATAAATGTACTAAAAATGAGTCAAAATTTCCCATCTGCGATATCAGAATCGATTCATAAACCTATGTTTTATTATTCTGAACCTAGAATTGGACTAGATTTAGACTGCCTTGTCCTGAGAGGTGCCTATTAGACTATTATTCTAGTTTCTATTCACATTCACAGCTTGTGGCTCGGAATAAGTCTAATTGAAAACTATATTTCCTGTTAAAAAGGCAAATATTTTCCGATGTAATAATATAATATCTCATATTTTCGATTGCACATTTATCTATCTTAATCTCGTGTCTGCATCTGTATATAGGATATTTATTATACATTGCTCAGCTTATTTATAGTAGCTAATCGGTTTCTTATATGGTATACTTGCTTTGTACATTTATCAATATTGTTTATTAATTAACTGTCCGCGACAACTTCTCATGTTCTTTTTTGTAATGAACTGCTTACGTCTATACTCGTGACGAATTGATGACATGGTTTGAATTTTTCATTGAACTCTGCTTCATCATGCATACTAAAAGGTTTATCACATTAAAAGTGGTATATTTATATGAAGCATTTTTAATTTTCTTATTGTAGTTGGCGCAATAAAATTGCTTTGATGCCCATTTTTCCTAAAATCTAAAGAATCGCATCGACTTCGATAAATTTAGAGTTTTACTGGTTTTACTACAATTGAGTTGGTAGACTCGAAGTGTATATAGTAGTTCATTTAAATAAGAATGATTTATTTGTGAGAATATTTAAAATAAATATTTATAATTTGAGCACAATAGGTCGGAGTAACATTGAAAATAGGTCAACGTTAGTTTCACTCTCATCATAATAGGATGTTTGATTTGGGTGAGCTCTCGAATCGTAAACTATGTTTAACGCCGAGAATAGCCTTTTTCGGGCAGTTTATCAGTATCATACGCAACAGGCGATTAACCACGATAAAATTGGCAAATTATGCGTTTTTTATAGACTTATTCGAAATTATTCAGTCAAAGGCTTCAATTTCCTGGCCCTGTGTATCTAGAGCATAAGGAGTAAACTCGGTTTCTTGGTGATTGTTTCGTCCATTGGCGCTATCTACGTAAAAAAAACAGCCAGAAATGCTTAATTCTGTTTATAGAGCCTATGGGTTATTACCCATAATTAAGGGCATCTATGGTATACCTTTTACTCTAATAAACCATTTACTATAACCATCCTCGTTAAACAAATCTCCTATAGCTTATGGATAAATTAGGCATGCCCTACCATGTTCTACAGGACTTATATGTTTTAAGCTTTACGCTTCTGTGGAAAAGGGATCTACTAAAAGTCCGTCATTCCAGGCTGAGGCTGAATGTACATATTTGTTCAATGATTTTCTTGTCGATATGCATTTACGTCCACCATAATTATGCTGTGATGCATGGCTTGAGGCGGACTGAAACTGGTGGCCTTGTTACATGAGTAGAATGGTCTCATCTAGCTTCAAATAGTCGCGTCTTATGAGTTATTAGCCGGACGATTGAGAACAATAATGTGTTTTTATTATCGGATCTGAAGGGAATGAATGCATCGTAGTGTATTTTATTAGATTTTTTATAATGACTACTTGTTTATCGTTAGAATTTATTTTAGAGGCTTCGAGATAATCTGTATTTATTCCTCTACTCTACTGATTACCCACCCTACTACCTACTTCTTTTCGACGTTTCTCTTGCCTTTTTGTTGGTTTTGTTTTCTATTTAACAAATACGGTTGCATGTGTTGGCTGACTTACGTCTACTAAGTCTAGAATTGTTTTATTTTTTCTAAGTCAATCTATGGGGCTTATTTAATTCTCCTATGGACGTATCCATAGTTTTCTTATTGGTCATCATTAACCTAATGTATTTCTCTTAACTATAAGAAATTAATGGATTACAAAATTTTGAACCTGTGCACTTTTTTGAATACGCTTATAAGTAAAGAGCAAAGGTCATTAAGCGTAGGTAAGCAGATAATTTTAATAATATTGTTCGCTTATATTACCTTACGTCATATTGTGGTTGTTTCAATAAAAAAAGATCTTCATGAAAAGTTACTAAAAAAATCCTGAGTCACTTTAGTTTTTCTAGTCCAGCACATCTTAGAGCTTGCAGGTATGAATAGCTAAAATTAAATCTAGCTTGCTTTATCAATGGTTGGAAAATC